AATAATTTTTTACTCAAATACTATCAATTTTATAGAAAAACTGCAAGAGACAAAAATCATTTATTTTCTTTTCATAGAACTCTAAAAATTTTTCGGAATTTTTTATTAACTTTTTAACGCTGCATTTTCTTATTTTTACCAACATGAGAAAATACGGTATTAAAAAATTCTGAAAAAATTCTCAGAACTTTTGAAAAGAAAAATGATTTTTAAATTAAAAAGTAAAAAGTAAGTAAAAAATTATTTAACAAGATCAATATTTAGCAATTTTTAAAGTAATTAATATCTTCTTAACTATTGCGAAAATTGGAAAATGGTAGAGGACTTTTCGACTCAGTTTGATTTACTCTATCTGCTCATGATGGATGACAAAATATGTTAAAGTTACCCTATCTTTATATATATATATATATATATATATATATATATATATGAGCGTACCTTTAGAATTTATCGAGTAATGTGACAGTCGTTGGGCCCAAATATGCAATAGTTTGTAATTCTCAAACGTATTCTGTATCAATGATCGATTTTGCCCCAAGCGCGAATATTCATATCCCAAAGTTGAAAATGTACAATGTCGAATATGATCGGTCTGAAATCTACAAATTTTCACACTACAATTTTCTTTACATTATTACATTAATTTTCTCAAAAAATAGATCAATTTTCTTACGATGCGGAAACTGTGGAAAGCCAACTGCACGCTTCTTGTTCAGATAACATAAAGAGAGCCGACAGTCCCAACTGCAAATCGAACGATCGTCCAGTGCACAACTTTCTCAATAAATTTATTAGAAGCTGTGATAATATACATTTCATTTCAGTTAATCTCTCTTCATTCCTTACAAACGTACTAGTATAGTATATGAAATAAAATGTTTTGAAAATTTGCAGTAAAGAATAATCATTGTGTTGAGGTTGCATCTTTCTTGTATTTTCCAAGAAATTAGTTAACAGTTGATCCATTTGTTCCTACATATAAACAAATTATACTGATATATCACAAAGTATTTTTTATAAATGGGACATACATATATAATTTGCAATACATACATCGCAATTTGTAATTTCATTAATATTGGTTTGACTTGAATAATATAAGTGCAAAGACATTGCATCTTTAAATAGGAACAACAACTTTTCATCCAAAGATATTGCTTGATCCTTATAAATTGTATATAACTTCCAATTAGATTGTGATACGAGTCTCTGTTTTGAATCAAAACAATCTTGAATAGGAAAATTTGGATATACATTGACACAAATGTAAACCATTAGTGCAGACTGTAAATCACCTGAAATATACATTAGTTTACGATACGGCGCGTTTTTGTCATTTGAATCATCAATATAATTGTGATACATACTGTCTTGACAAGTATTTAATATCGATATACTTAAACTTTTAACAATTTTTATAGCGTTGCTGTCTACAGAAGAACGTTGTAATATCGATAAGCATATCTTACGTATATTCTTAAATTTTTTGGACGTCATATTTAAATCGTTATCATCACTATAAAGACATAGGAGAAATAAATAATTTATATATATTTGTAGGTATAAAATTATAAGAATAAAATATGTAAAATATTTACTCAACAAGATGTTCTAATCCGTTTAAATCCGTTAAGTTTTTCATCTGTTCCAACATGGATAAAGTGGCATATGATTTTTCTAATCCTAGCAACTCGGCAATTTTAATAACCGTCTTATACGTTACTAACCAATCGTTCTCCTTAATATCTATCAAATTATCATAAATAAATTGTAAATTCTTAACAAGTGTGTATATTATATTTAGTTGTAAAAATTAAATTAGAAATTTTACTTGGAAGTGATTTCGAAATATAATTTTGCAACACAAATGACTTTCGCATATGATAATCTTTCAAAGAAATATCAATCTCGTAATATTTCTTCAGTGCGTACAATGATTTTAAATCTTTTATCATTTTGATAATGTTGTTGCAACGATAAAGACAAACATTTGATTGTGTTAACAAGTTATACATTTTGAACTCTAAGCAACCCAATATTTCCATGTGACACATCAAGGATGTTATTGAATTCTAAAAGCAAATATTGAAGATAATTGATTGCAATTTAGAAAAAATAATTTTTATTAAATTAACACTGTATCAAAGATCATTACTTGGAAAGAGAAAGCTGCAATAATATAATTAATAATTCCTTCACAACAATATAAAACGATGGCAGTATTATTTTCCAAATAATGTAATATATCCATTGCTTTCTGGTGATTTCTAAAACAAATGTGTTTGCAGCAGATTAGATAAATGTTTTAATATGTTTTATACAATACACACGCGCGCATACGCGCGCGCACACATTCATACGTTTTCCCCATTTTAAAACTTCAAAATAATATATTTTTTTCACGACATACTTTTCATTTAATCGAACGTTTACGCATCGACAAAACGAATCTTGTCTTAATTGTTGATCGTCTTTAGTTAGCACATCTATATCGTTAATCATAGAATCGCGATTTTCTTTTATTATGCGTGACATCAATCTCTAAAATATAAATAATTAATTAAATGTAACAACATATAAAAACATTATAGAATATGATATCACAACTTATACCAACATTATTTACACCAATTGTCGCATATCCATATTTCTTTAAGATAAGTTTTGTTGGAACGTAATCGCATTCAATTTTAATTTTAAAAGATAAACTATGATCGTAATTAATGCTTGTTTCTGCTAAGGTAGCTATAATTGAACTCCAGGGCACTGGAGCTTTTCTTAAAACTATTAAAGTTTGTTCCAGTCGTTTCTGTTATGTAACATGTAACATAAAATGCGTTAAATGAATAAAAAGATATTTTACAAGTTAGTTAATATCGTAATAGTATATGTCTCTAATATTCACCTCTATATTATGTATAAGGCTTATTATAATAGTAACTCTTTTTTCCCATGCAGCTTCTTCGTTAAACCACCAACTATACGAATTTTTTATAGTTTTCTAAAAGTACAAAATATTACAATATACGCATTTATAAAACAATTATTAATTAGAAATTAATATTATAAATAATGTATTGCGTCTTTAAGTAAAATTAAAGAATATTATACGTATAAAATGAATATATGATACAATATGTACGAACCTGAATATACGTACAAAAAACAGTATCATTTTGTAAATTGTTATTAAATATATATTGTTTTAGGAATGTATTTACAAAATTCGATATTTGGTCAAGATGTATCTTATCCAACAACATATAAATCGCTTCCACAGGTGAATCAATATATATGTCAAGAGGTACTCTCAATCTATTGTGTAATTTAAAAAATAAGTAATATTAATCTATAAACTAATTAAAATTACAATATTACTGACCTGTGAACAATCTTCAATTGTTGAATATCGGTTAAAGCTTGAAATAGAACCATAAATTGTTTCAATAAAGAGTTTTGATATCCGTATTCTTGATGAAAGTATACTAACTGATTATCTTCAAATTTGAACAATTTTATAAACTTTTTAGCAAATTCTATGCCGATTTCTGGCCATACCATATGGTGAGATATCTCAAGATATTTTAGTTTTTTTAAACTCCAAAACATAATCTCATTTATTGCATCAGGCAATAAGGATAATAATGTTGGTATAAAATGAATAAGCCAAGGCCACAAGCATGATGGATCTACATCTTCAGGTAAAATTGTAAAAATACTTTGTACAGTATGCATAGATATACGTTTTGCAAAATCAGGAAGGTGTCTCGTCCAAATTAATGTAGCAGATTTAAGTTGACCCTGTCAAACAAATATTAAATATTATAAAGTACAATATAGCAATTCTTGTAACTTTTTACACTGTAATATATGTATAATTATAATCACATAATACCATATTTAAACGAGTAGTACATTCTTCCAATAAATTTGCTTGTGAAAATCGTATCCATTCTTTCATACTTGCGTCATTATTCAATAGCGTATCTGTCTCGGTATCTTGAATCATATGAAAAGTTTCAAGTCTATATAAAGCGTCGTTTATTATAGATAGACTGGTATTCAACGAATCATCTATATTTTTTATCTGCAAAAAATATAAACTGAATGTAGAAATACTGAATATTATAGCGATTAAGAATACAAATAATAAATACCTTAATATTTTGCATTATTTTTTGTCGAGCATATAAATATATACATCTCATTTGCATATAATCAGAAATAAGGGCTTTACTGCAACATTCAATCACATATTGCACATCTTGTATTTTATTTAAAATATTTATTAATGTATCTACGTTGACCGAATTAGGAGTAGATTTTGCCCATGGACTAAGTTGTTCTACGAGTAATGCTGCTTTAGAACAGTAAATAGGTTCCATTGAAAGATTTGATTTTCTTGCAAAAGCTTCAGCTGCATCAAATTGTCTCTTCTTTAATAATTTCGCTAAACATATTTCGGGAATACCTTCCAATATCGTTTTTATTCTAAACATGTCGGTAATACCGGTCTCATTGTTAGTAATAATACCTTCTATATAAAATAAATTATCGGAAGCATGTAAAATTTTAAATAAATGAGTATTGACAGATACGTTGATTTCTAGCTTCTGTTCAAAATCTAAAGGAACAAAAAATATCTCATTAATTTATAAAAACTAAACTATTTACAAATAAAAATAATATATTTACCTGGATAAGAAATAATACGTAATGTATATGTAGCATAATTGTCCTTAGAATGCATTAAAAGTAAAATTTCAGAATAATCATCATGTTGTATTACATCAAAATCAAACACAAAATCATCACATATTTTTAATGTAAGAAATGTATTCAGACATACCATACTTAATATATTGTCTGTACGTAGACACAGCATTTTACTAAAAGATAAAGTATTTTTATGTACCATATAACTTAAGATATGTATAAATTCAAAAGTACAACAAACTAATATATATTAGCATAATTTAAAAAAATTTTTTAAAATTTAATTACCTGCTACCATGTAACGGTTTTATCTTTTTATATCCAAAAGAAAATACATTTTGGAAATTGATGTATTGTTCATTAGGCCAAGTAAACATTGAATTTGTACCAACTATGGCTATCGATAGTTCGTCTGATGATACATCTATTGTAGTGCTAAGAAACTATAGCATATTCTTTATAAAATGACATGGAAAACGAAAATATTTATATGATATAACTTTGTTTGAATTGAATATTTATAAAGGTATTCATAAATTCTTTGTGTGTGTGTGTGTGTGTGTGTGTGTGTGTATTACCTCCTGAGAAGAAAATCCTTTGAATAATTGACAACATTGAATATCTGCAATATATTTTGCAACTGTAACTTCATCACTGGTAAATGCAATCTCTAAAGCTTCAGGATAAAATTTGGAGAATCTAAAATATTTAGAATATATAGAATAACAGAAATTATATTAAATATTAAATTATATATATATATATATATATATATATATATATATAAACAAATTTAATAAGTAAAATATAATAAAATATAAATATGTAAATATGATACCTGTAAATAGCTCCAGTGTTTGCGACAAGAATTATAAATGTTTCTTCACTTTGCTCTTTTAAAAATATTTCTATTATATTATCCTTATTATTAGGTATAGTTCTGCAACCAGAAGTTATTTATGCATACATCAGAATTATATTTCTAATACGTTTACAAATAATTTTTCAGAAAATATAATTAAATATTTATTAAACAAAAGATATTAAAAGATAAGTAACATTTACTTAGTAAAAATTATTTTTCCATCTGATAAATGCAAACAGTACAAAATCTTGGTTGCGAGTATTACAAATAAAAAGAAACCATCCTTGGAAATGCAGTAACTGGTTATCATGGAAGGAAAGCTAATGTTACATAATATTTCGTCACATGTTTCATCTTTAAAGATTGTAATGGACTTGTCAATTGCTACACAAATCTTGGAATATTGAATAGATGCTATGACATTTGGTTGTTGGTCCACCTTAAAAAGACATATATTAATTGATTTTAATGGTGTATCATCATAATTTATAATAATCATAATTGTAATTGTATACAATATAATACAATATAATAAATATATAATAATAAATTAAATCACAATAAGTCATTTTTAAAATGTGCGCTTTAATAATACAAATCCAGCGCGTGCGCATTTCATACGGATTTAAACATAAAAAAACAACACTGATATTGCTTAAAAAAAAATTATACACTAGTACTTTATGCTTTCCTTCAAGCTTCTTTTTCACCTTCTTTTATTGGCACCGCAGCCGAATTTGGCTGAAACCGAGCCACTGATGTTTAAATCTTCGAACGTCGAAAAATGGAATAACTTGTAAGAATAATACACTGTACAGGTCACTTTAAACCGAGCAATCTTTTCGAAAGGATAAGTACAACACGGTCGAAAATAGCAATAATTGAACCGACCGGATCTGTCCACTGGACACAGAAAGCCTGCATCTACGACGCTTCCACGCCGCGCGGACGCCGTCCAGACGAACGAAGGGAATCTCAGTATGAGAAATTCAAATGCACGGTTAAAGTTTCGGCAAATAATCGAGGTAATGCGATACCCGACATCCCGACCAGAGTCGAGACGAAAGACGAAACAAATCCTCTTCATTCGAGCGATATCTCTTGAGACTTACCGTCTTTTAAGTCAATTATTTCGGAATTTCCTATTTTCAATCACATCGCGTAAAAGAACTACTGATACGAACAACAATGAAAAACATTCTAAATTACCATGCAACTGTCATACTAGACAAGTTTGAATGTGTAACCACGAACCTTTTCAAGCGATTGAATCGTTGCCACGGTGCATGCCTCGTACAGAGAACCATTGTTTTCTGCAATTATTCGTGTTCCAAAATTAATAGTCTCATCGTCGACGTTAAAGCCCGACTGTATGTTACTCCACGAAGTCATTTTTTAAGATTCTTCTTCCTTACTCCTTTTGTTACTGTTATTGTGGTATTGTGGTAGTTAATACTCGTTTGGGCGCCAAGAATGGAAATTTCTTTTTACGAGTTAGTGCATCTCATCATTCTATGGATGGCGTCGCAGTTCACATTATTAATTATTTGGATTTAATATCGGCAATCGGTCATGTATCATAAATCGAATCGTTAGGAGATACAGATTATAAATTTTCTTTATAAATTATTTTAGAAATTTTTTAAAATATCGACAATTCTCGGAATTTTACACAATGTATTTTTAATAGTGTATTTTTATATATTTAGTATCGATCGTCGGTGATCGATATTTAAAATTCAATAATAGATAAAATCACATTTTACTTTATCATTAGATCTCCTCTCTCTTTCTCTCTCTCTCTCTCTCTCTCTTTTCTGTTCTATACGACAGAACTACACTATACAGAACAGAAAGGTGCACGTGTGGTGCGTCTGATTTTTGTTTAGTTTTACATGTTGATCGTAGATTATACAGAATTTGTGAACTACGAGCTACGGCGACGGAGTCTCTAACTAAAGATTATTGTTTATTGGATGACGCATGAGACATTTACATTTCATTATCGAAAAGATTATCTTAATATTGAAGTTATTAAAAAAAAATCTGGATACATTTGATGTGATACATTTTTATTTGCAAATTAAACTAAATTCGTCGCTATGGGTGATGCCACTTTCCTCGAAGTTGATGACTCTATTAAGGCTAAAAATTTATTATTATTTGTAAGTATAGGTATAGTAAATATACATATTCATATTGATATATGTGTACGTATGTATGTGAGTTATGACAAAAATGTTAAAAAATATTTTTGACAGGATAAAGATAAGGATGCTTTAAGTCAGATGGACAAGTTGATGGAACAATTTGATTCGACACCATCTATCCTTGTGCAACCTACTCCTGGTTTATACAATCATTTTACACGTTGCTATTATATAAATAAGAGATTTATTTTCTAATATTATAATATTATAGGTATCTGTGTAAAAACCCGAACAGTTAATAAAGAAAAAGTTTTTGTCAATGTATGTACATCAGATAAAATTCCACCACCTGACGATATATCTGATGCTAAACTACTTGAACTTTTAAATGATGAAGTACCTGCTTATGTCATACCAATGAGTATTGGTTTTGAAAGGATGGAAGCAGATAAATGTAAATAAAAATCATTTACTTGTCTATTAGTGTTAAAATAATGATGTTGCACTATATACAATTAGAAAATATTTTTTTTTTACAGCTGGTACTCCTAGTGCAACATATGATGTCATGATAAATACAGTATACTTCAAGAAATGTCAAGAAAAGAAACATTTTATGGCATTTACAACATTAGTCATATTAAGTGGTGTGGCAGATAAATTTAACAAAAAGATTGATACGGAAAATTATGTTATTCTAAAAAATCGTACAGTAAGTATATATAAAAAATAAAATATGTGTATTTATCTGTTAAAATTCTTTAATGTAATTATATTCGCATATTATTTCATAATCATATTCTTAAATATGTATATATTATTCTAGATAATGGGAAAACTTCAGCAACATAGAATAGAAAATCGTAAGCCCAAAAGGCCGCAAGGTCACAAATCATTGATCGAAGAAATTTCGCATTCTACAAAGCCTATCAACAGCAAGACTAATCTGTCGGCTAGAAACGAAATAAAAACGGGTTATGTAATTTTAAGAAAACCAGCGAAAGGCCCAATTGAGCGTTTAATCGCTTTATTTGATATGCCAAAAAGCGTTAGTCACAAAATTATTAAATGGATTTATCATACAGAGTCTTTATAGTATTCACAGTCAGATAAATATGCATTATCACTTACAGGTTTCAGTCGAAGATATAGTAGTATTGATTAACTCTGATCGCATAAATGTTACAGATGAGAAAGCTTATTATTCGTATGACGTTTTACTGCCGTATACGTTGAAAGCAGATAATGCGAAAGCTTTTCTCGATTATAATATTGGGGTGAGAAGTTATATTCCCTTTTTTTTATATCAGATAATATTTGCTTATAGTGTATATTTTCTTATTTTTCAGGTGTTACGAATAGATATATCAACAGAACAAAAATAAAATGAATATTAAAAAATAATTCTGTTTATTGTGCCTCTCATTTTAAGAAAAATTTTATTTATTTTGTACTTAATTAAAATGATTAAAATATTATTTCATTATATTTTCCATTTCTTTATTTATTTAATTTTGAAGAAAAAGATATACGTTCTATATTACAAATATACAAATTTGCTTAAAAAATATATCTGAAAAAAACAAAGATAAATCATCTTTCTGAAACTTTATAAAAGCTCAATAAACAAACAAGATTTTAAATATATTTCACAGAATAATATAAATTTATCAGATTGCATGCTAAATTTTTTATATTTCCGTGTAAAATGCTGGTCGTTCGATACCTATCATGTTAAAAATTTGTGGCAATAGATACACTGTATTTACACCTAACATGAAACAAAATACATATCTATAGACTAAATCGACAAACACCTTATTTTGATTACTATTGTAATCTTGACACTTCACAAGTTCTCTCCAATTAATTTGTAATATGTTGCAAATTATAATATAACTGAATGATTTGCAGAAGGTTTTTGTTACAATAATGCCAGAAAAGCCAAGTGCAGTTCTAATAATTAGACAACCAAGCACAGAATATGTTGGCCAAACAATAGGAAATGGCGGCAAAAATTGTGATACCCTTAATAGACCAGTATAATAATTGAGCCATGCTCCTGTATGAACTCCTGTTGTGACTGATACAACCATGGCAGTGTCGCTTCTGAAATAAAAAATCATTCATATAGATATAAACTTTTTTAAAGCTGAATTGTTTTGGTGAGTGTGATATTCAATATTGATAATTTATCTACCTAGTGGGTGTCCACTTAGAGTTGGATGGATAATATACAATAATGGCGATACTGATTGCAATCAACATTGCTAAAAGCCAAAAATTTGTAACAATATAAGGACTTGTTATGTCCACTAAGGGTACCAATGGAATCATTAATGCGATCGCTAATACTAAACCGACCACAATATCTAGCACAGTATGCATACCTAGGTACAACCTACTCATACTGACAAGTGTACACCTAAAAAAGTGTTGAATGTTGCAGAGTTTAATAATTTTATATTAATACAGGGAGTTAACAAGTAAATATTGTAATATAGTAATCAAGAATGAATCAATTACAATATATCACCTACCAAAGAGATGCGATAATGAAACCGACAGAAAATGGATAAATATATTTGTCCATTGTAAATAATATCATACTAAACGGTATTGTCAAACCGACCATGGCATGAGTAGATGGCATTCCATATTCTTGTGACCATTTATCTTGTAATCTGACTACTGGAGGACACGCTGGTCTAGGCCAACATATTATATCTTTTAGTATCTGCCCTGTGGATAAATAATACAAATTTAAAGATAAATTACATGAAAATCATGTGCTTGCTTATTTTTTGTGCTATTATAATTCATCATACCAATTGTCATAATAATACCCCATACTAAGACTACTCTTTGACCAACAGCTCCATCAATGTTCCAAAACAAGAAAGGTAAAAAAGTTGAATAAAAGATCTCATCTCCTAATTCAGTTCCAAACACAAATGTATAATACCAAAATGAATTAGTGATTGTGTAATTTGGATTATTTGATATCGTCAAAACTCCTTTGTTTGTTTCAATTCTTTGTTCTGAAGAATTTACTTGCTTTGTGTATACATTCAATTGTTGATTTGCATCACAATCATTTATCTTTTTACTATGGCAAGTTGAAATATAATTTTCTTCATTATCGTTCACTTTTGTATTGTATTTTTTCTCCTCCTCTTGGAATATTTTTTTATGCCTATTGTAAGATATTTTGACACCAAAAAATTGTTGAATCAATGCGACTAATTGAGGATCCTTTAAGTAATCCATTATTCTTATTAGCTTCAATAGCATTCTTATTGAAATTCTTAGTCGGTTGGTTATTAATTAATTTTAAATTGTTTTTTTAAATAATTATTAATATGACTTTTCCCTGGTCACAAACATCCCGCTAAATAATCTGTATAAATAATGTTAATGACCTTAATGTTACAATCATCAATCAATGACGTAACTTTAATGTAATTCAAATTGACTAATCAATAAAAATAAATATATATATAATTTTCAATAAAAAATCCACACCTATATATAATCACTCCATCTCACCAGTTTCAGTTATATACAATTTTTGTGCGCTTGATGTGCCGTAACACACAGAAGAAGTATGATAAAGCGATAATAAAAATTATCACCGCGACTACAAAAAAATTATACAATTGCTATAAAAGCGACATACATTAAGGTTAAGTAAACTGCCGTATCGACCGAATGTGTGATATGATAAGCATGCGCGGTGATAACATTTTGATAGTCACCTCCATTGATTCTTTTTATAATAGTATTATAAAATTCACTATTAAATGTAAACATCACTTTGTTTATAATATCCAAGTATTTGAGGTAAGATTAGGTTAGAGATTAGGTTAGGCTATGGTTACTATTCTGTAATTTTCTTACGACATGATGTTATATGGTTGTTGCGCAGCTTTTTTACCATGTATAAAACCTGCGCAATGAATATATAAGTACTGGCAATAGTAAAACAACATACTGCAGCAATCAGCTACAAGTTATTTATCTAATATGTGATAACGTAATAAAAATGTAATACCATATTTATTAGTGAACAATTATATAATCAACCTAACTCGATTTATCATTATAATATCGTTCATTTAATAATTAGTCGAGCGATGATTTTAATCGTCGATTTTACGTACAGAATATAGCATTGTATGATCGATTATTCATGCGCATGCCTTCCTTTTTCTTACTGGAAAGAATTAGGCAACAAACGCTGGCACACGTCAAATCATTATCTATAGACTTTATAGATCCAAAAATTACATAAATCTTAGGCAACACAATGCAACACTGTTGCAGATCATATAGGGGTCTGTCTTTTATTTATTCCTGCACACTAAACTGCACTACCCAGCAAACGAGAATGGATTGAAATGAATTGAAATGGATTCAGATTTTCAAAAATATTGATTCACGAATGTTAAAATGAATGCTTTTCAATCCTGAATGCATTTTTATTCATTTATAGGAATTGCATGGAGCATATCTCTATGCCTTTCAATCTAAAAATAATATTAGCTTTTTCTATGCACAACACACACATTGTGAATACTGTTCAATTCGAAATTTTGAATAGGAAATACAGTTTTTTAATTCGATTGCATCCAATTGAATCCAATTAAATCCAAAAAAGTATTCACTATTTAAAATACACATTAACATTTTAACGTTATCGCAATGTGTTATTTTGGCTATATATCGTGTGTAAAAATAAATCTTAATCATCGCCGTTCTGGAATTGCCATTATCTCTTCATTGTCGTATATCACTTTTCAAAGTTTATTCGCCCTTATTCCAATGACGTAAACCAGAGACAACAAACGAGCACTTTCGCTTATTAACGCAAATCGCAAATCGACTTCGACCTCACTGATCCTCTTTTAAGCAGGGTCAGCAATATAGTTGCGTAATGCAATTTGATAAAAATTTTTTTATACATTAATTATGTATAAATATATATAAACATATTTATATGTATATACATAAATATGTATATTCATAAACACATATATGACATTATATGTCCATACATATATTCATATATCCCTCTTTCTTTCAAAACTTACTTTTTAGTATAATAGAAATAACAACAGTAATGTGAAAACATAAAAAATAATTAAAGGGATAGTTTTAGCATTATTCGTTTTAGAAACAAAAATAAATTTGGAAAAATGTTAAAAAATTGCTCATACACAATTATGCATAACTTTATGTGTATAATTATACATAAGTAATTTTTTTACATTTATTCAAACTTGATTTCTTCTAAAATAAAAAGTGTGAAAATTACCCTTTTAATTATTTTTAACGTTTTCACATTACTATTGTATTTCTATTACTCTAAAAAGTAATTTTACAAAAGAAAGAAGTACGAACATGTATGGACATATTTCATATAAAATTATGTATGTTATGAATATTTTTATACATATTTATACATATTTATACATATTTATACATATTTATACATATTCATACATATTCATACATACTCATATATATTCATATTTATTTATACATATGCATGAAATATTTTTTTTTTATCATATATAGAGAGATATAAAAAAAAAGATTTATATTACAAGTTTCTTAATAGATATATCATTTTTATATAAATATATTCAGAATGTAGTTAAAAAAGTCATTTTGCTTTATTCTATGCAAGGATTACGTAATATAAATATATACTCAAATGAGAATGGATTAAAATGGATTGAAATTTTTTTCTATCCGAATGTGTATTTAAAAAACTGCATTTTCTATTTAAAATTTTGAATTGAACAATGTAAATGGAACATTCACAATGCGTATGTTGTGCACAGGAGAAGCTAATATTATTTTTAGATTGAAAGGCACAGAGATGTGCTCCATGCAATTCCTATAAATGAATAAAAAGGCATTCAGGATTGAAAAATATTCATTTTAACATTCTAATCAATATTTCTGAAAATCTGAATCCATTTCAATTCAATTCAATCCATTCTCATTTGCTGGGTATGTATAATTAACATATCACTTTGTAAAACGCTGTTACCGTCACTTTTTTTTCACAATAAACTGATAACGGCGTTTATTTACTTTTGTTTATTTTATTGTAATTATATTTTTTCAGTAACGCTAACAAATTTAACAGTTATTTTTACCGTTATTTTTCACATTTTGAATTTATTTATTGTGATATAATATATATAATTTTTATATTCAATCTTTCGATCAGTCTTTTGAGTCTTTGACTATAATATTTATAGTTTGTTGATATTATATTTAAGATAGTTTTAGACCATTATGCTTTTCTATTTTAAATCTTAATTGGAACTCGCCTCGTAATCAAAATTTTTAGTCTATAATTGGTATTTAAAAATAAAAAGAGTTGCTCGGTGCTTTTGTCGGCGATGGACGGAATATTAAGAAAAAGATGTAAAAATTATACGAGTATTGCTTTTATTACAATTTTCATCAAAAATATTATTAAAAAAATTATCTATTTACTTTTTCTATCTAATCTTGTTTTTGCATTGAAATAAATTAGGCAATTGTTACTTTTTTTAGGAAACGATAACGTATTATTTTTGTGGATTAGTATAAATATAATAACGATAATTATAATCACTTTTTTTTTTGATAACAAGTTTTAAAAATAACTTTAAATTGTTACTTTTTTTAGGAAACGATAACGTATTATTTTTGTGGATTAGTATAAATATAATAACGATAATTATAATCACTTTTTTTTTGATAACAAGTTTTAAAAATAACTTTGCATTTTTCTGTTTCTATTAAAAATATAGTATAATTTTTGACATCTTTTATGTATAATATAATCGAAATTACTGATTCAAAGTAACTTAAGGTGAACGTCGATAAAAAAGTACGCGACAATGTCGATGTCCAATAAGTGCGTTTTCTTCTATACCGACTTAAAGTAATCGCCAGAAAGAAACCTGATGATAAGGCCGGGATGTTTATTCTCAGATTCATTTTCTCTCTGGTATCGTTAATAAAGCAGAAATTGTATTGCATATTGATCATCCGAAATCTAATTTGCCAAAAATGATTCTTTATTCGAGTATCTCAAACATTTTGAATATTTCGAGTGGCGCGAATGAGCGTAAATAAAACGGAAGGATCGGAAGGTCGTGCCATTTATACATTTATTGGTTACAAGTTATAACTCGATGATTGGCTATGAGGATCGTAAGGACGAATGGATAAACAGCAAATAGTGGTAAACAGTGGCAAATAGTAGCAAACACGCACTATATGAGCCACGTTGTGTATGTATGATTATATGCCAATGTGCGCAAAGCCACCGCTTTCCGGGGCGGACTGAGGGCGTATTGTAATATTGTAATATACTGTGAGATACGCCTCGTCATGCACTGACGTTGGAAATAGTGGCGTGATGCGAAGGCATTCCAATCGATCGCAGTCGCAGCGGCAGTGGTTGCACTCGCACTTGGCAAGCACACTGCACGGCTAACACACAACGAGCAGTCAGTCAGTCACTCATACGCGGCTCGAGCGGTGATTCAGTGAGTCGTATCGAGTCCTATGCCGTATGTTGGGCGACGTCAGACTTCAGATTCAAACTATAGATATATCTCGATAACGTGACACATACCGTCGGCCTATTAAGCGTCAGACACCGCGTGAGTCCGTCAATCAGCGGAGCCTCCTCCTTGATACTCCTCGACTAATCGCTCAACGTACTTTGATCACCGTGAGACAATCCATTCTCTTTGTCGGCTGTACCGCTCTCGTTCGGTTCGATAATTGTCCACGTTCGGATCATTTCTGGTCTCTATTGAGATTTTGTGGCAAGAGTGAGCTAAAACGCGGGAATCCAACTCAACGACGCTCAACGACGCCTGTGAAGGTAAATACTCTAAAGCTGTTTCCTCTTTCTACATTTTCTACCTCTTCTCATTCTCGCCTCGAAATCATAATACAAACTTTATTTATATCAATCGCGAAAAGAGCGATAAATTAGTACAGCTATTGCAAAACGAAGATTACTAAATATTCGAGTTTCTTTTCCTTTGGAAATACTTTTTTTTTTCTTTCAAAATGTGTTCGATCAATTGTTAAATATACATGCGTAACTATTCTTGCTATATATTTGCATTTCACTGCCAATTAACTGTTTTTAGTATGCTTTGAGATGAATAATTACTCTACGTGTTTACACCTTACCGGCACTTTATTTTCAACAACTATCATTGAAAAGTGTTTACGATACGAAATATTTCGAAGACGGCAATATTCGTCATAATATAATGACAGCTACTATGTATTAAACATGATTATTTTGATGATAACTTATGTATTCGGTTATAACTCACGTTATGAATAAATGGAAATTTACCGAGTTCGCCAAACAAGAAATGCATTAAATCGCGTTTTTATACAAAAATAAAATAAGCTCATGAAAAATAGCTCTCGAGAAGGCGTTTTAATTCTTCATTTATATAATAATTTATCTATATATTAGGTGTTGGAATTAATTCGTAGCGTTTTACAAGTGATGGGAAGTACTTTCATTAATGTATTTTTTAATGCTCATGTGAAATAAATAACATTCTTTCATTAAAAACGCTACGAATTAATTCCAACACCTAATAATTAAATAATATTTTTTTCAGATATAAGTACAAAAAAAAGAGAAAGTCTAAAGAAAAAAGTTTATTTTTTTAGACTTTTAAATTATTCAAGAAAAATTCCTGCTAAAAGGTCATTGTAAATGTTTTTTCGGGAAGACATAACACGAGATGCTAATAAATAATTAAAACAATTGAAAAAAATAAGATATTCTTTTGGCCGCGAAATCGGTATTTTTTTCATTCTCTTTAATATTTATGATTGATTTCATTCATACAGACAGGTATAAATGATTTTTCAATCTAACAGATATTTTATATATATATATAAAATATCTGTTAGATTGAAAAATCGTCGTCATGATCGTTGCAGGTAACTTGGATTGCATCGTGTAAGTCGTGTTACTCTCGCGAAAGAACGTGTCCAAGATAAAAATATATCGCACAAACAGTATCTATAATGTGACGAAGCAAGCATGCGCGTGATATATGATAAATTCGTTTTCTCTGTATCTCCCGTTTAAACCACATTCAAGAATTTGGCTCAGTCACAATTTCTTGCGCTGTCTACTTATGTAAATTTCCGACTAGAGATGAAAAATCTGAATCACCTATCTATATTCTATCAATTCCGTCAACTTTCAAAATACAAAGTTTATTTGTGTATCTTTCATTTCTTACAATTTAATAACACATTACTAAATGTTATTTTAGAGTTTCTACTTGTTTTAAAATTAATGATTAATTTCTTGCATATTGATCTTTCTCATGCATTTTTCAAGACTTTACAGTGAACTACAAAATTGTTGCGTCTATATATGTATTGCAAACTTACTGTTAAGAATCAGCATTCATTCCAATTGACCGCAATAATTGAATGTATTATGAAATAATTTATTACATCTATTATTTACATGCTTAAACATCTCGTTGTCATATAATAATTCTAAATAAATTCATCATTTTAATATAGAAATGATAGGAATATTTGTAAAGAAAATTATCATCTTTTTTCTCTTTCTCTTTCTTTTCGTAAAGTTCAATTTATTTTCAATTTTATTTACAAGCTAATTGATTGTCTAATCAAGTATCATCTGAATCATCACCAATTTATTTCTCTCTCGGTTTTTTAATATAATTAATGATCTATGAAAGTAAATTATTGATTAATAGTAATGTTGATAGTTTTTCAAGTACCAGCTTTGAAACATAATTATTATAATAATTTATTTAAATGTATCATCCATTTAGAATAGGTTTCCTTCATTTAATGGATGTGTGTGATTGCTTTTTTCTAAAAAATACTAAAATATAAATTTTCAACGTATCTATTACTTTTTGTCAAATTTGCACGCATCGAATAAGTGATCAATAGCAGCGCAGTACAGATGACTAACTCGTTTACCGCGTAATATTTGATAATGACATTACGGCACACCCTTAGACGTACTTTGCGCCGTAAATGCTTATTAAATAAGGCATTCCGGGCACCTTTGAAATATTTTAATTTTTTTTTTAATTTGCTGACGTATTCTATAGAAAAAATCAAACTTTTTTCGCAAAACACGTGTCTCATATTTATCTGTAAAATACATTATCAGCAAATAAAAAAAATTTTAATGACGATATTTCAAAGGTGCCGATTTGGTGGAATGCCTTATACGTTTTTCTAAATTATGAATGCATTATTCGATCTCTATGAACATTAACAGTTCTAAGAATTAGAAAAGAGTAAATTAAACCGAGATTAAAGTTAATCTATGTTAGTAGAAATAGACATAAAACAAATAGATGATAGAACGCATCTCAATATAAATATATATAAGCGCGACATATTAACGTTTCCTTTGCTATACTTTTTATATTTTTAATTCAGAAAGAAAGAAATTTTAGAAATTAACTTTCTTGACAAATAGAGACGCACAATTGTAACATATATGTGATTTATTATGCCCAATATTTTTAATCCTCTATCGATAATGAGAATTTTTACCCTTCATTTTGGGCCTTCGAATTGAAAAACAAATTTTTATACCATTTTGGACCGTATAAGAACTTTCTTATATAAGTGAAAACTTCAACAACAAATTGTTATATATATTATCATAGAAGAATTGAATCATATTTTACTTATTTTTTACAGATTTATATTTATCAAAATTCATAATAAAAAAATCGCCTTTAAAGTTTAACATTGCTGGCAAAAAGTTAATTAAATTTTTAGTCGACAAATCGATACTGTGTTTCTATGTTACATGCTATGATTTCCATTGTACTAATTTACTAGTTTACTGTCAAATTAAAACACAAACATTTTATTTGCAGGCCAAAGAGATGTTATCGAAATGGAGTTGGATTGTTTTTAATCTTATTGTTTATGTAACTACTGTCCCACATGGAGAAACTCTCTTGGAGGATGAAGCTAAAGCTTTCTTCGAATTAATCGAATTAGATTATGAAGATGTATGTTACAACAATGCCAATGTTCAGTGGTCATTTATCTTGTCACCTTCCAATAAAACATTGTCAATATGGGTAAATATATTACTATTTAAATTATTGCTTAATAATAACGATTTGTTTTTCTATAAATAATAAATTAAATAATAAGTATCTGTCTTGTTATATTTTAGGAGATACAGCAATATAATTATACAGAATTTACGAAAACGCAAAAAAATGAAATAATCGATCAAATAAATAATACAAAAGAACTGAAATCATCTCTTCAATATAAATATGGCATGATTGAAAAACCTGGTGACACATTATTAAAAAACGAAGATTGGGGGAAGGTAAGAGACGCTTTTCAATTTTACAATTAATAGTTTATATAATACTTTATATTTTTTTATAACTTACAGTTTATTCATTTCGTTGGCATCGTGGAATTGCAACGATCAATTATCAATTATATTAATAAATCACAAAACTATTCACGAGAAGGTATAGTTTTATTGTTTTAATCACATAAAACGTATCACATAAAAAAATAAGAATTATTTCTCATTAACGAATGTCTCATATTATGATAAAGATTTATGATAAAGATTAGTATAGTAGTTGTAAACCAACTATATAATACAACTATTGTAATTATATAACTTTAGGTGTGGAATATTTGCTCTCTCATAGTAGAAAACTAGAAGATAAACAAACTGCTTGGAACGCTTGGTATCGCCAATTTATACCATTAGTGACAAATTATTCAAACAATTTGCTACTCGTTGCTGAAGCTGCAAAACAAAACGGTTAGTGTAAATACAAGGATTACATAGATAATTTATATGTCAAATACAAATGATCAGTGTACGTGTTAAACATTTTGAATGAGAATAATATTCAAATATATTTAATTGTAGGTATAAAAAATGTTGAGGAATATTGGGAAATGCTGTCAGGATACTCTGGCGGATACGACAAAATAAATAGTGAGTGGAGTCGGATTAATAATCTTCACAAGAAGATTGTAAAATTTGTCGGTACAAACTTGGCTCGAAAGTACAATGTTACTATAAATGATACACTTCCAGCTTATTTACTCGGTAAGCTAACAATAGTATATGTAAAAATAGCAAACAATTGATAAGTTGGTTAATTTTTGTAACTTTTATTTTTTATTCTACTGTATCACTTGAATTTTTTATGATTTCATTCGAAAGATAGTTTACAAGGATATGATTGGGCAGATGTATCATCAGATGCGTTACCCTACTCAGAATTAATCTATGATCTCAAAAAAAATCTCTGGAAAAAGGTAGGGATTGCTATTTCATGTTTATATTAAACTTACAGATTATAATCAGATTTTTGTAATAACACTTGAAATTTTTTATTAAATTATATATAGAAATATGTAGGAAAATCCCTGTACAAGACTGCATCCAGTTTGGGTTCATTACTATTGAAACAAGTTCCGCAAGCAGAATTTTGGGATAAGAGTGAATTTAATCAACAGTGTCCATCTAGATTGTTAAACTTTTGTCGTGATGGTACAATGAGGCATGTACATCGAAATATACAATTTTATACATTTCCCAGATGATATATCTAAAAGATATTTTTATGATATTTTTTAGATTGCTTAGTATTACGTATTATTATGTATTAATAGCATCACACAATTTAATAGTATTTTGCTAAATTGAAATATTATTTTAGAGTTTCTACTTGTTCCAAAGCCACAATAAGCAATTTCTTGGTAGCACATGAAGATGTTGGTAAAGTACTATTTAATCAAATGACTGTAGAAAACACTCCAGTTCTCAATACAGTGAACAGATATTCTGGTAAGAAAATATTAATTCATTAAACATAAATATTAATTTATTTGACATTGACGTATCAATGATCAAAAAAATGTTAAAATAGCATTCGACATTAAAGATATCTGGTCTTATAGGATTGGAAGAAAGTATATCAACACTATTTGGAATATTATCGGCAAGTCCTGCATGGCTCAATCATACTCATTTAATGAATAATATTAAGGATGATCAACAACGAATGATTGTATCTTTAATGATAACTGCCTTGAATATATTTCCACGATTAGCATATTATTACTCTGCTGATTTATGGAGATTAAATGCAATTCGACAAAATATTACAAATCCAGCAGACTTGATAACATCTTGGTGGAATTACAGGTAGATATTGTAGGAAAACAAAGAGAACTTTAAGAACATTTAAAAATATACATAGACATTCGAAATAATTATGATAACAGTGGAGCGTTGTTGCACATAGTGCTAGATTTTTAAATAAGGGATCTCAAGTTCAAATTTCATTAGACTCTGTTAATTTATTCGCCGACTCTCCGACAGTACATTATAACACTTATTAGAAATCGATGTAATTTACACAACTATAATATCTAAAGTTTTAATTTTCTATGTTAGGCAAGAATATGAAGGTATCTCTTCTATTGATATGGATTACCCTACCTTCATAGACGATAGTCATATTGTTAGAAATAAACCATATCTTTCGTAAGTAATCAGTTTTTATGTACATACATAATTATATTATCTATCACAGTAATAAAATAATGAAAAATATTTTATTAATGCAGCAAAATTCTTGGCATAATGCTATCTTTTCAATTATATGAATATAACATGGATTCGACAGAAATTAGATATAATTTTGATGGAAAATTAATGAATAACAATATAATGTAAGTTGATATAAAAAATATACGTTTTTAATGTATTTAATGAATAAATTTGTCTCGATAAACTTTTAATTTTATTAATTTTTCTATGTCTGTATATAGAAAAATGATTCAACATAGTGGAGCCTGCGAGTGGCAAGATGTTCTAAATAAATTCGTTGATATAGACGATATATCTGCGGATGCACTTATTCAATATTTCACACCGCTAGAAGAATTTATTGAAGAAAATGAGGAAAACTTCGAATACAAATCTGGAGCATTAGCGGAGAAAGAACTTGAAGAATTGGAGAAACATACCTTGCGAGAGATCAACACTCCTACTACAACGCCTCCGAGTCCTACTTCCACACACAGGATAATAACAAAAGCATCATACAAGCTAACAAGTAACACGAAAAATATGCAATCAGAAGTAGAAAAATCTTTAGAATCTAAATCATCCATATACACGGAAGATAAGCTGAAAAATTCTGAGTCTGATTTAACGACTCCAGTCTCTTTTAACGAATCCTCATCATCGATGCCCGATATTTCGAACGACACAAAAAATAGCACACCAAAGATTAGTATCAGTAAAGCGGTATGGGCCGTAAGTGCAATTCTCATTGCGATAATAGTCATCTGTATCATTGCGATTTTCGGAAGACGAAGATGTCGTAAAACGCCAAAAAATAGACGGTACGTTTAGCAGTATACATTTTTGTTAATAAACATATTTATTTTTCGCATTTAGGCATTAAGAGAATTTGATCATGTAACTTATTATCATAACAATTCCTCTGAGAATTATTTTCTAATCGTTCTTTAGTATTCGAAGTATTCGACATCATGCATTCCTTGTTAATTGTAATGCGTTCCTTGTATTTTTTTTTAACATCACTAACAATCAACCTCAATCAAGCTCAATCACATTTGCCTTGTACGTCTACCTCCAAATCTCATTCAAGAAAAGCTTTTAGCTATTCCTTTAATGTTATAAAAGTTTTGACATTATATATATAGCTATATTTCTTGATGGGGGGATTTATCAATTATCCTATTCTAGAGTAATTATACAATAATAATTTATATGAATAATGTTGGGCACAAAGAATCCTAAAAAATGCGATTGCAAATTTTGCATACTTATTATATAATAACTTTAATATGTACACAAAATATGATTGTGTACATACATATATATTGTATAACATATACGTGTGTGTGCGTCGTGCGTGCGTGCTTGCGTGCGTGTGTTTACCGATTTATAATGCCAAATGACCTCAATGATTTATTGCTCTCGTCATGTAACACATTAAGAGAATTATGTATGTTGTATATAATCGATACGTACAAAGAGACAATTAAAAAAAGAGTGTAGATAATTAAGGCTATAAAGCTTATAATGATAATCATTATGTAAAGTTTAATATTTCAGCGTACTTAGCGTAAGTAGACTATTTTTCTATAAATATTTAGTATTGTGCTTGTGCGTCGTTACATATCATCGTGAGAAATTTCTATTTTTTTATAAAGGTATCGTTGTACACGTTTGTTCAACAAAATAATAAGATATTCCATAGTAGTCATAAAAAATGATTGATAATGTGATTTTAAAAAAATCGCATGATTTTGCTTAGAATTTCTTAAAACTGTGGATTTTCGTACTATTACTATAAAATTAGTAGTAGTACAGCATGAAACACTGTATCTGTTAATTAAATAAACATTTCATTAGCAAAATAAAATGATAATTGTATCTTTTTTAATAACCAGGATAACCATTATATGAATCTTCTCTCATTTCTCTTAATACACAATTATACATTTTTTCAAAAATCAATAACAGTTTTTACAAACCAACATGATTGATTTGATTCTGCTCAATCAAAAATTGAACAAGCTATTCGATCAAGTTGGTCGTCATCTTAATGTTATCACAAATCATTTCAGCTATGAGAGATAAGAAAATCTTTTTTTTGAATTGGATAAAATTGTTTCATGCATTTGATACGGTTGATATATAACTGAATCGGAGCAAATAATCTATAAAAAAAATAATGATATCGGATCAAGGAGAAAAGATTTCGATAAAAAACAAATAATTATTTTACGTTGAACTTGAATTAATTTATCCCATGGCACATTAATTTCTCTCTATTCAATCCAAGTTTTTTATTATTAATTTCAATGATGCAAGAGAAATAAATAATTAAATAATTAAACATATTCGCAATGACACGAGTAGGTATACTATTGCCGGATACAAGAGCAAGAAAATCCGATTTGTTAATTCTAGATCGACAATCGTCTTCACGTTTGTAGGAAGGAAAAAAACTTCGAGATGGAAAGAGGGATCATCATCCCCTTTTCGCAGAGACATGCGCGTTCGCGATTGCACGAGGGTTGTCGCGGCCAGGGAGGGGTTCTAGCTTCGATTTCAGTGACTCAGAATATACATTGACGAAAGTGTGTCTTCGGTCTCGTCTCAAGATTCGATAATCGGCCAATAAGGTGCAACGAATGTCGGTACGAATTACATTAAACATCGTTTAATGTAAGAGTCCTCGCCGCGATGTCTTAATGTACGCGTCGGTTGTGTGCGAGTGGCACTGCCACCAGCTGCTCTCTTCGTCATGAACGTGAGTACCTATGTTAGTTGCTTCTAATATCGACTGGTTTCGGTCGCGAGGAGAGGCTACGCGAGCGTATCTACGTGGGCGTTTCTGCGTTCTCTTTCGCGTCTTGTTCGCGCGAGATCGCCGTTTCCGCTGGTGAAAATTTGTGTTTTCGCACGTGGAATTATCTCCAGCTCTCTGGCCATCAAGAGAGTCATCGAGATGTATGTACGAGCGTGATACGTCATTGACCTCGAAAGTCCTCTGTAAAATCGATGAGATGATACCCTTTAAACCGGTGCGCGGTGGTGGACGAATATTTCATGTGGTTCCTCGTATACCTTTGAGAAACTGCGACGCATCCAGCAAAAACTTTTGCGATATATTATTCATATGGCAATAATTTGATTATTATTAGTAATTCAACTTCGACTATTTTGTTCCATTAAAATAATGTACGTCGATTTCTTTGTAGACGATTCTAAAACGTTTACACGGTTAATGTATTTAAATTTAATGTAACATTATGATTGCATAAATTATTATTTTATCACTTCTGCCAATTTTCAAACTGCCAATTTTCTTTCTCTTTTTTAAAATTCTTTTAATTACAAAATTATGTTTTATATGTTTCTAAATTTCTGCTCCAAATTAACAAGTTCTCTTACATCGTCATATCATCTTATAGAAAGATATGTTTTTTCTAAAATGTCACTTTCTCTGAAAAATAAATCGATTTGATAAAACTCAATTTTTGCTTTTGAAGATTTCAATCTCAATCAATTTGTATTCGCCGGATTTTCTTATCTAATATTACAAGAAACAGATGATAACGTGTCTATTGTGTTGAATTAGTCCAAAGCATTCCAAAATCGAAATCCAATATTTAAAAGCTGATTGCAACATCTAAAAATATATATCCCGCGGAGTGTTTCAATTAATAAATATGCATCGAAATAAAATCGCGTTTCATCGTCACTTCCAAATAGCGACCAGCTATCGACCATCTGCGGCAAAGGCTTCGACGTAATAAAAGTCACACTTTCAACAACTAAATTATTTTACAGTACAAAAAACATTCATATCGATTTCTTTAGATTCCGAGAAGAGTGAGATTAAATTTTATCAGTGCTGTTGACGGAAATTTGTCGATTGTGATTAGTGAATACATACGCGTTGTGTTTCGAACCTTTTAAATATCTGTAAGGGGAAAGCAATTTATCGTAATTTATCGTATTAATAACCACGTGTTACAGATAGGAGCAGTTTGCGATATTGCGTGTAATGTCGCAATTTTATTAAAATTTTTACGTGGTCGGGCTGCACTCAAGTAAGACGAACGAGAGATGCACGTCCTTATCTTGTGTTGTTAGCACCTTCAATCACTGCGTTCTATTGTCTTTACTTGCAGCGTCATCATTAACGTCATTCACATCACGCGGTTAACCGGATGGAACTATGGCAGTTTGTGACGTAAAATACTTTGTACACCGATTACCGTTGAACCAATAAATTATCTAAACACGATCATCCTTTTCAAGAACCTACGGTTTGAATTCTCTCAATCAGGCTTTTTGCAAACAGGTTTGCGTTTCTTTTCACAACATATAACTTATATTCACTAAGTTGATGTGTTTGTCAGTTTATTCGATGAAATCGAATGATTAAAGTGTAGATAAATCGTTATCTTAATTAATCTAAAATTCAAATAATTTTATAATGTATTTAAAATAAATTAAAGTCTACTCGTAGCGAGCGTAAGATAAATATAAGTGACATTTTCAGGTGTTATTATCGTCAGCTGTGTAACGGAAATCAGATTGGTAAGTCAGGCACTCTTATTTATCAGCAAATGTCAATAGATTTCTCGCGTGACGAAAAAAGAAGCTGTTGATGCGCTAAATCATCGATTCTGCAAATTATCGACATTATACATACGTACATACATATATATATATATTACATTTAATAATTTAATTATTATCGCTTAAATGGTGATTTTTTTAACCGGTGATTTTTTGAATGAAGCACCTACTAAATAAAAGAGGTTTTAAATTTGCTAAAGTTGTAAATATTGTAACGTAAATCCATAAAATCTGTAAATACTATTTGTGAAAAGAATCCAATCTTCGCCTTTATTTATAGCAACGTTAATGCCGCTGTATGTACATCTTCAAAATTGCGATATTGTCGATACTTTGACACTGACGGACAACACGGATCGAGTAGAACGAAAATTTTAATCGCTTCCTCGATACGGAGGACGAATAAACTGCTTTTGAATGTAAATCGCATGAAATTATATATTTTTCCTTCCCGTAGAAACCCGAGGTATACATTGAACGCAATATCGCTATAATAGTCGTTCCTATAAGATTAAGAACATGATATATTGGAGATTAAAAGTCGCGTAGTTTCGCAGCAGATGTTTTAAAAACATCGCAGCAGTATACCGACAATTTTTTATGACAATTTTTGATGAAATAAGCCTAAGCTCTTTCTCTCTCTCTCTCTCTCTCTCCAGCCGTCACTACAAAGTATAAACTATCAACGATTTCGAATCCTGTGATATGACTCTTTAATAGTCTTCGCTGCAGTTTCTGATTTTGAACATTTACGTGCTCGGCACACCGATCGAATTTTTCGAACAGACGTTAATCGTCATCTGCCGCAAAATCACAAATGATGCACGGAAAAAAACACAGCTGAAAACTTCACTTTTTGCATTCAGCGAATCTACAGTCGTAATAAACGGACAGTCAATTTTCTATGTTAAAATAGCAAAGTTGACAGCTGAATAACATTTAGCGATTAAACCATGAAATCTTCTTAATTATCGATGTTGAATTCGCATAGTAAATTATAGGAATGTATCCTCTGTATCAGCCAATTAATTTTGTTTTCCGTGTGGCGATTCGCGCGATCATCGTCGCGCTTGCATGAGGCCGAGCCCTCGGAGAGCTAACGCAGCTAGGATCGTTCTCTCTGTATCTCGGCTCTATCTTCCTTTTCTCTTCCGTTTCTCGTTCTCGCTTTCGCTTATTCCGCCCCGTAGGAACGACACGAGTAACGAGAGGCGGTGCGAGCATTTATTAATAGAGATTAGAGTCCGGCGTCGTGTGGTGCCGTGTGCAAACGCCCTCCCGCAACTCGCAAGACGGCGGGACTCGCCGACTCGCGAGAGAGCAGTCTGACTCAGGATTCACATCGTGGAAAAATAATCCTGGCCGATTCGTCGCGCGGGATCCTCTCTCGGCAATCTCGACGCCGCGGTGAAAAAGTGATCGCCGACGAAAGAGAGATCGTGTCCCCCCCGCTGCCTGGTGCGATTTCTGAATTCTGAATTCTAATTTCACCGGCTCTCGCAGCGATAATAAGGGTGTTTGGTGTCGGTCGTTCGGTATCGGTGCTTGGATCGCGTCGTGTCGATTTTCGAATCGTTCGAGATTTTTTCCCTTAATTGCCCTTAATTACGGGCAAATCGGTTGATCGACTGCAGGATGAGGAAGTAGAGTGTTGAAACAAACGCTCGAAAGAGCGAATCTCTTTGTGCGCGCGCGAATGACGTTTCATGGCGATCGGGCGTGTTCATGCGTTGTTCATTTTATCTCGTTTCTTATTTGGTACGGTGACTACGATTGTTCCACGAAATGACCTAAAGAAGATTTAAAGCAGTTAGAAAACCAAAATCAAAGTAGTTTAAGACAAAATAAATTGGACAGTTTCCTTTGGAGGATCGTCGTATCGCGTTGTTTGCGATCAAGCGGGTCTTTTATATAATATATATCAGAAATTTCTAATTGCTGAAACAAATGTACGGTTGAACGTATCAAAACTCATCGCCAGGTCGTTTGCAACTACTGATCGATTAGTATAACTGGAACTTCCCGTTCGAGCCTGAATGCATGTATGTGTAATCTCGCTCAATCTTGATAACGGTTAGATTTGAAATTGCCAATCTGCGAAACGGAATTTTGTACAATGTTCCAGACCTAACGTATGTACCTTTTACACGCGGTTTTTTTCATTACATCGACATTAGAGAAAAAAAATTGATCACCAAATTATTCGCTTTATAATCATGAATTTTCGACTTTAAGAATAAATAAATCTTTGTCATCATTTCAAAT